CTTTGCGAGATCTTCAGTAGGCCAAGTAAAAACAATCACAAGGACACGATCGTTTTAATGAATCCAGTTCAACATAGGTGTCTGTCTGTGTATTCTTATCATCTAAACAACGTACACAGACACTTCTTGAATATGTAAGGTACCCCTTTTTTGTATATCCTTTCAGACTAGAAAGCGCACACGGGAGCTTCTTGAGTTTGAGAAGAGCCCCTACATTCTGTCTGTATGTCCTTCTCGGATGAGGAAGCGTACATGGGATCTTATTTAAACTATGAGGAGTCCCTTTGTACACACAAAGATTCTAAAACTTTCCAGTATGTTCCACATCTACCAAATCTATCTTTGATACAGCAGTGTTTGGAGGACACAACTCAAGATTGTAAGAATTCTTCATTTTATGATGTTTTCAACTATCAGTAAGCTAATTCGGCTCCCCATGGTCTGTAAGGTTTCATGGAAGATGATGGCTGTGGAGATGTGCTGGACCATCCATAGCCACTGGATGGAAGTCCCTGTGTGCCAAGGTACTGACTGGATGGCATTTGAGAAGGCGACGACATCATGAAAGTACTGCTAGGAGTTACGGAAGGTTGCATGGTGGGAGGTGACATGGAGTTTGTTGCATTGGATGGTACTCGGGGTCCCGGATGTGGAGGAAGGAGACAAGATGTCATACTGTCTTCAGAAGCAGAAGGATGAGCAAGCCTTGAAATACTGCAAGAATATTGAACCCCAGGTGGCGCGTCTAAATTCATGGAGGAGGAGGTATGTACACCAGATCCGCTAGGGGGCACTACTGGATGAGAAAAGTATTGAGGCGCTGGAGGAAGAGATGACGCTGTATTCCACGGACTCTGGGTAACTGTAGACTTGACGACTAAATCTCTCTGCGCTGAGTAGCACTGAAGGTGGCTCATGAGGCGCAACCGCAACGGGTCTTGAAGATCTAGTCCTTCCATGGCCACCAGGTAGCGTGCTACTTCAGATGCACACTCTCGAAATCCGATGCTGTGGTAATCCATGAACATCTTGTGGGGATCCAACGAAAACGGATCAAACCCTGAAAAATAAAGTACACAAAAATGAACAATAAATGATTAAGTATGAAGTCAACAAACTATAGACAGCTAAACATCATTAAATTGACAATATCGGATCACTGAGAATAACGCTTGCAGTAAATGTACGTTATTGTTAGCACTAAATTACATGAACTTTACTTCCACTAAGCCTAATGATAAATAAGGCTTCTTTCTGGGTTGGCATGGCTCGACTCGCAGTTTGAGGGTCGCGGGTTCGATCCCCCCCCCCACCAAACATGCTCGTCCTTTCAGTCGTGGGGGCGTTATATGCTACGGTTAATCCCACTAGTCGTTGGTAAAAGAGTAGCCCAAGAGTTGGCGGTGGATGGTGATGACTAGCTGCCTTCCCTCTAGTCTTACACTGCTAAATTAGGGACGGCTAGCGCAGATAGCCCTCGTGTAGCTTTGCGCGAAATTCAAAACAAACCAAACCTTTCTGGACTGTGAAGCATTTGTGTTAAGTGATAATAATTACACTGGGAAAACAGAATAAAACCAAAGAAATAGTTCTACAATATATGCAAGAGGTTTTGTACATCAGACATACGATGGTATATGAACGTTCAAATTATTTTTTCTTTGTTTGTTTAAGCACAAAGTTAAGCAATAATCTATCTGCGCTCTATCGGAATGGAACTCCAGATTTTGGAGTTCCAAACTGTTAGCCTCCTAGAATATGTTCTTTTCACGTTCCGATATGATTTTTCGTTATTTGAAGCAAGTTTAAGTATTAATTGTTTGTTTGTTTGAATTTAAACACACAAAGCTACAAAATGGGCTATCTGTGCTCTGCCCATCACAGGTATTGAAACCCTGTTTTTAGCGTTGTAAGTTCGCAGATATAACGCTGTGCCACTGGGGGGGGGGCTTCATATTAATAAATCAGTAAATTGTATTAAATCTTCTATTACGACAGTTTCTGAGTTCGTGCTAAAAATCATGTCTGAACGTGAAGTAATGATTTGTTTTATACGTTAGAAAAAAAAAAACCGTAAAACCAAATCGCTTTCAATAGGTGGACCAGTCTTCATCAATGTTCTTGTTATTTTTTAGCACAAAGCTACACCGGCTATCTGAGCTTTTTTCTCCACGAGAAATCGAGTCCCGAATTTTAGTGTAGTATGTCCGTCCGTAAACTAACCGCTAGTCCATTAGTGAACCTTTCGTGATCAGTTGTTAGTATCACTAACGTTTTGTTAAAATATGCTCATATGAATGGACCCAAATACTACAAAAGATAAGAACCAAAGTTATTTATTTAAAATTATTTATTTAGAAATGTATGAAGGAAAAAAAAATAAATCAGAATATATAGGTGCTGCCATCTGTTGAAAAATTTGTGAAACTAAAAAATACAAATGTAGGATGCTTGAAAAAAGTGAAACTTGAAGCTCACAATATTCAAGCCAAATTGGGTAGGGTGTGGCCTAGTGTGCTTAAATTGTGAACCTGAGGAATCACAGTTCACGACCGGTTACCTTAAAATGCGCTTTGCATTTTTTGTCTATGGGTGTTCTATAAGAATGACTTTGAAACCCCACAATTTGATTAGTCTATCAGTTCAAAATTAGGGACGGCTAGC